TGGAAAGGTCCAGTTGGATGTCTCACCTAGTCGAGCTAATATGTTGTAGTGTATAATCGTTTTTGTTGCATCAGCAATTCCCACGGGATATTCTGCATAGCAAATGTATTCGAAGAGTAGGACTACATGATCGCTGCGGCCAAAGGGACGGCGACGGTCACCCCTTGAACACTAGTTCTTCGTTGGTGAACATCCGATCCAGTATTACCGGCTTATCTTTTTCTCGGAATCTTGTGTGAGTGTTGATGTGGCCATACAGCGGGTAACTGGAGATAAACTCTTGTAGATCGGCCCTAAACCGTTCTCCGGAAGCTGTTTGGGATTCCAGAGGGTGGATGTTGAGATCATCAGTAATGAGAATGTGACTAAGTTGTGGTTATCACCCTACTTAGTATGGATGCCACATAGAAGTCAATCTCAGGCATGGAGGAAGTGGGTGGTAGATGACTGCCACTAAGCCAGTGTCGTCGCCTTTATACGTAGACGGCACCAAAGAGAATTCTGTACCGTACTGACCAGATCCTCTATGAACTCACATTGGAGGTCGCTGCGGAAGTACAGAGTCACTTCTCCAATTTGCTAGGTCGGTCGTACCGAACAAGGTACATGCCTGGCAGTGTGATCTCGATGTCACTTATACCAGAACATAACCATGACTCCGTTATAACGTTGAGGTCACAGGATTTTGATCGGTGATTTTGCAACTATCTTGGGCGTTGCATGCTTTGCCAGGATTATCAAAATTCTGCCCTTCAGGTAATGATGTAATCCTAAAATTACAAGAAAGGCCATTACAACGCGTCTATATAGACTATTTGGTCCACTTGAAAGCCGGATAACTCTGTTTGTCGTTGGAGCGCGTTCCACATTTATTCAAGCCCACATGCTGGCCACAGCGACATAGGCCGGCTCCGTTGATGAAACGTGGCTCCCATCCACATGCCTCCCGGTCTTATTCTTTCGGGTTTACACTGGATATGGGGTGTGTGGATGAAGCTGTGGTTGGTGCAGCGCAAGCCACCCATGGTCTTTCTGTAGGCGCAGACGTCCTGTGGATTGCCACAGTGACAGGCAAATCCGAAAGCGGATGCCGCCAAGCATATATATATATATATATATATATATATATATATATATATATTATATTGGGTGGTTGGCGCATCCGGTTCCGGATTTGCCTGTCACTGTGGCAAGCCACAGGACGCCTGCGCCTACAGAGGGACCATGGATGGCTTGCGCTGCACCACCCACAGCTCCATCCACACACCCCATATCCAGTGTAAACCCGAAGGAATAAGACCGGGAGGCATGCGGATGGGAGCCACGTTTCATCAACGGAGCCGGCCCACACTCCTTCACAGGCAAACACAAGCACACTGTATTTGGGGAATCAAGCGCACACAAGGCGGTGGCTGGACCGTAGTCCGCTCCACACTGAGTGCATGGAACCACTCTTCGAGCCTAACACGGCCACAAGGACCGTGCACCCCGTCCCCTCCAGCAACGACCAACTGTCTCCTGGAGCCAGCATGGACGACGTAGTGGGTAATAGACAGGTAGGCACCTTGTCAACATGCACATCAAGCGCAGCCACACCGGGGATATCAAACAACAGCCAATCACTTGAGAGAGAGAGAAAGAAAAAGAGAAAAACTCGATTAATGCGTAAGGAAACGGTGACATAAACCTTAATTAAATAGCATACGTAATAAGTTGTTTACAAATACATCCTAGCTAAGTGCACGAGGTCAGGAAGTATAGTTCGCGGTATGCCACGAACACAAAAATGTTATGGAAATCGAATACAATTGGCTGAAGCGGATGTGTGCAAGTTAATAGAATAGAGTACAGGGAGATATTTATATGAGAAAGAAAAGCAGTAAGGTAAAAACTGTAAACCCACCACCTGAAAGAGAAAGAGACTTAGCATGCAAGCACGCGGTTAGTAAATCGAATTCAGCGTGTCTACAAACGCTGCGCCGGCTCGCCGTAATTCTCTGCAGGACCCGTCGTCGCTTCTGTAGTGGCCCCAAAGGACCTAGCTCATATATATATATATATATATATATATATATACGCTTGTTAATATAGCGCTTAGGTTAACCTGCCCCTCTGCAATCACGGTCTCATTCGAAGCATAATATTATACGTAGTGCTATAAATCGTCTTTCCTTCCCGTATTCACTGTCTGTAGCTCGCTTTTCACTTATGCCATTGTACTATGACACAACAGCTGTGTTTCGCACCTGCAGTTAATGTTTGATGATGAGGATAGTCACTCGTGGTGGAGGAGATTGTTTCTGATACAATCTGTGGAGGAGCAACCTGGACTTATATATGGCAGCAAGTTCGCCGACACTGCTTCCGAGGATCAGGCTCTATACGTTGATGATAGAGCGGCATTTTCCATAGCGCAAAATTCAGTGCGTTTGGTGGATGGTCACTGAGATACCACTTCCACTACAGAAAGAGGAAAAACATCTAACCAAAAAGTATTACACTACATGACAATGGTTACAGAGTTTGTGAAAAGAGTACCAATCTTTCTGACTGAGGATATCTTGAAGAAGAAGTACGCGATTTCCGCTCCATTAAGACAACTCATGCCAAATTTTACGCCTCGTTGGTACCTCTGGCATCCCGCCGTAATAAGCCTGATAAGCTACATGTGATTTTGGATTGTGATGCAAAGTCTAAAGGCCTTTCATTAAATGACCGATTGTTGCAGGATTCTGATATCACCTCCAGTCTTATGGGAATCCTAATGCGTTTCAGGAACGAGGTGACAATTGCAGCAGATATAGACAAAATGCTTAACCAGGTGAAAGTTCCGGATGGAGATAGAGGTGTATTGCATTCCTTATGGTGGTGAAACGGAGAGCTAGACGCAATTGTTGTTGAGTATCAAACGACCGCACATCCCTTCGGTGCAACCTCATCCCTTTTTCGTGCCAATGTTGCACTGCGCCGAACTGTTGACCAGTAGGGTGATCGATACGGTCAGGTGGTGAGACGCTGTCTACACGAACTTTTACGTCGAGGATTGCGCTTCCGTTCTCGTAAGAAGTCGTAGTTTGTCTCATAAATCCGAAAAATGTTAAGTCGAGATGGGTCCACGCTGTGAAAATGGGTTCCAAACTGTGCTGGAGTGTACAAAGTGCTCTCCCCTTCAGATTGAAGAAGCGATCCGACGAATTAGCCTGTCTGGCGGCTCAGTACCACGAATTATGCGCCTGTAATGGAATTCCAATAAGGATTGCTCCAATTACCACTTCACTGTGGAGGATGGGCCGAAAATGAGAAGATCAGTCTTGTCCATAGTATCTTATCTGAACTACCCACTGTGATTATGCCAGCCAAGTTGCTGTTACAAAAAATTTGTCGGGGCAAATGTGCATGGGATGAGGAAGCATGGCAAAATTCGTTGTCTGAAATGCAAGATCTAGGTGGAATGAAAATATCTGGATGCATAACCATGAGTCGCACCTTCAAACAGCCTTTGGAACTGAAGGTCCTTTTTTGTTATGCGTTTGAAAGGGGATACGGTGCTATCATGCACGCTCGATTTTGCGAAACGGACAAGTCTGCATAATTCTCACTGCCCCACGCGAAGTCTAGTATGGCTCTCATAAAGTCTGTGCCTATTTCTCCACTGGAACTGACGGCCCATAAGCTTGCCACTAGAGTATTTGCAAACGTACTTAAAGGAACGTGCGTGATATTTGAACAGGCAAACCCATGTTACCGTATTATATCAATGATGCATCAACAAGGTTTAATACGTTTATGCCAATCGTGAATTGTCTACGCAGAGACAATCGAAGCGCGTTCAATCAGAACACAATCCAGCCGACCTAGTTTAAGTGCATATTGGTTTAGCCCAACTGCGGTGAAGAAGCATCATGAATACAACATGTGCATATACATCAACAGCCCAAGAATTGGACATGGAGTCATCGAAAAGAACATGGAAATCAAAAAGACAACTGGATCAAAAATGATACGAAGGAAACATTATTGTTTGTTTTTCACACGCCAATTTTTCGTCTTTTACTGTTTACACCGTTTAATGGATTAAACGTGTGGATCAATACAACTGTGTACACGGTTTTTCCACTGATTCCGGTTGTAAGCCGCACCTTCAAACGTGTCAAACCACTGGCATTTGTGGTCCCATCCAGAAAGATGTACAAGTCCAACGGCGGCGACAACAGCGATTTCATGTGCTGTCATCAAGTGGAAAGCTGACCACTACGCAATCGCCTCCAGCCCGATCCTTAAGGCAAGTAGAACGTATGTTAAACACATGTCATGACACCAAGCATCTTTGGCAAAAAGTATATCCGTTAACCATAAAATGATTTTGAAGTAATGAAAAACGATTTTGCAACACAAAACCAATTTTACTACAAGAAATAAGAAAATTAAGTGTCATCTAAGTTTTATACTTTTTTTCACGTTGGCCCAAGTTACCTCATTTTGCGGTACCTTAGGTTGCGTTGTGAAATGCTGAAGTTTTGCTGAAATCAGAACTATAGATTTATTCCTGTGATATTCCGTGGCTGATGACCGTTTCACGAATTGCTCTGTACAGTCTAAAGTAGATCGCACGCCACATTCTGTTGGATGTTGTTCCTCGATTTCCTTGAAACAATACGAGGAATGTAATTATCTCTGTTTCTACGTGCTGATCAGATCATTTCTACCTGACCCGATTATTCAATCACAAGGAAGGCTACATGGCCATTGAAACATACATCAACTGCGATGGTGAAGCCGACGGATATCTTATGCACGCACCGTATTCGTTTGTCGGATAGCAGAATGAATATGAAATCTCGTCAGCTTATCGCTTAACCGTTCGTAGGCGAAACGAGGAAACAGGTACACTGTATATTTTATTCACAAGAAAATGACATGGAAAACAGGTGTCACAAAGTCCCATACTTCATTTCTACTTCCGAAGCTCATTGAGTGCAAGGTCATGAAGTAGTCGGATGCTACCGGGATGGATTTTCGTGAGAAACTTGTGGTCTCCACTCGGAACAGTCGGTCTCAATCTTCTCATCAATGACGAAAACGGCCTGTATAAGAGAAGAACAAAAGCAAGGTCCTTCAGAGGAACATAGAATGAAATTAAAGCTGGTTCCTATTAAACAAAAAACCTTAGGTGTTGCAACAGTGCACACTACGACCGATTTCGCACTGGTTTGTAATTGTCTGATAGATGCAGAAGAGACAGTGGATTATTAGCTGAAGCTTTCATACATCAGTCAAGAGCTACAGCTTTTAGTTTGGTCAATTTAGCAAACAGACAGACAAAAGAACAAACTAGCTGAGCGATGTCGTCTATGTTCGGAGTGATGCGTTTATCGGTGACACTGACCTAATGTAACAGTTGTTTACTTGGAGTGGTCCGTGTTAGTTGACTCACTCACTCACAGTACAAATGTACCTCACAATGTGGTTGCGGCTGCTTTTGTACCCGTTCGACAGATTGGTCTCTACTAGTTGGTACTCTCTGTGCTCTTTGGGAGTAAGCCAACCACACCGGATAGACTGTCGGTCAGATAAACTGAATTTCGTGCTCCTACAAGTTGGAAACTAACTGGCGTGGCATACATTTAAGCAAAAGCGGATTATTTCTTTGTTCCCGGTGCTTTGTGATCAGAATTTTCAGCCAATGTTTTTGGTCAAGCAAACAAGTCCCTGAAGCATCCAAAGTCAGCGACCGAACGAACAGAATATCCTAGGCAACTGTGTGCTGTGAACGATATAGCAGTTGCGCAAATGGGTTTACAAGGTGTCATCCCCAGATGCAACAAGTCTCGCATTAGCCAATGGAAGTCGTCCAAGTTTTACAGGTCCATTCTGGATGAACTGCTGCCAGTGACGAGTAAAGGATGCATAAAGGTCAGTCCTGTAGTTGATATATCTTTATTCGGTTTTGTTTGAAGTTCAGAAACTGCTAACAGCCTGAGGATGCCATTTGCATTGATGAAACATCTGCCATTAAATGTGTAGCTCCACGAGTAAATCAACATTATAACAGCCAACTCAGTATTTCAAGTTACTGCAAATTCTAATGCATTTGCTGTAAGAAATGAATGCCGCCTATGGTACTCAGATCTCGGGTTTCAAAATCGTCGTTATGTAGATCCTACTGTCAAGAGTTTCGGTCTCAGCCCTGATCCATATGCGAGTTTCGCGAACAAAGTGACGATCCACTACATTAGCAATGTTTGATGAAATGTCGTTGAAAACCACATGTAGACTGGTAATATAGCGCAAATTTGAGGTTAAAAGAATACCTGTACCGAACCACGGGCTAAAATAACTGCCACAATCCGTCTTCGGATTGCAAAAAGGAACGAAATAAGAGTCCTTTCCACCCTGAAGGTTTTAAAGTGAGGAGACCTGGCAGTCACATTAATTAAATATTCATGATCTGTATTAGTCGCAGCGGAGCCTCTTACTGGATACCAACGAACATGCAACACACTGGCCAACATATGAAGATGTCGGGTTGCACACACGAATACTGCGTCGCGTTATCAAGAAAAACATTAATTGGTGTAACACTTCGCTTATAGCTGTTACCCTTACCGGTTTTGTTCGATTTATTCCTCCTTCTGGAAGTACAATTCTCTGCATCGGTAATAGTGACGTCGAAGTACCATGCAATTCCAAAAGCTACCAAGAATGATACTACTACCAGAAAAGCGAAAAATATGTAGAAGGTCTCCTCATCGAACACATCCGTGAATTTCGGTAGGACGGACGAAGCTCTCGAGACCAGTTCGCTTGCGACATTTCGCTTTTTCTTCATTTAGTTCAGACAAAATACGTGCTGAAATAGTTGAAAATGATTATCGTCAGGGAAAGCAATTTCCGTTATATATATATATATATATATATATATATATATATATATATATCATAATCTGCGGCACAGATACTGTGCCATCAGAATTATGGCAAAATAAACGATAAAAATAGGAAAAAAGAATATACACCTTTTTCGTCGCGTTTTTCACGTATAGTTTTTGATTTTTTTGTTCGTTTTATTGGGGAATTGAGGGGAAATCACCACAACACGCAGAGAGACATGTTCACCATTGACGTCGGTCTTTGTTCATGACTTCCAGCCAATGAATGTCTAATACAATCAGCCGCATATGAGCGCAATGAGAGCAACTCACCGCAGTTACCAACAACATGTAGCGTCTCTCAGTCTTGTTTCACTCCAGAGTAGTCAAAAATAAACGGCAAATAGAAAAAGGTATCAGTAACACATCGGCATTAATAATTCACTGCAACTGAGCCGTAAGCTGTTGAACCGGTGGCATACGTCGGATGCTTGAACACCGTTGATATCTGCCACACCATTTTCATGCCCATAAAGAATAAGGAAAATGTGTGGGGGCCTAATATAGGAATCACATGCCTAAACAAACACCCATGATCAATGAGTGGTTATCAGAAAAGCAAAAAGTGTTTTCGAGAAAGTTTGTTACAGCCAGAATCAGACAGCCTCCATGCTAAACAGCCGTTTCATTGGTAGCGCGCATCTGCTGCATCTGAACTTATGACCTTCATCTTAAGATAAAGTGATTCAAGACATTGAAGCCTGGGTAACAGCGGCAGAGTATCATGACTGATTAGCAACTGCAATAAACCTCGACTCACCCTATACTGTCATGCATTTCATGATCATGCACCAACAAGGCGGCTTGTTTGAGATCTTCGCTGCTCCCAGTCATGATCAAACCTACTCAGAGATAGTCCACCACTACAAAAAAGTTAAACAAGTAGCATGACTAAGAGAAACAGCTGTCACCGGTTGTGACCCATGTTATGTCTTATCGTCTCGAGATGAGAGCAAAGCAGCTGGCATGGACGTTGTCCCGAAAGATAGGATAGACAACATCACTTAGTATAGTGATCAGAGTTCATATCGCAGTACCGACTTAGTAGATGCTTCCTTCGAACTTTACGCCAAATAGGAAGTGATGAAATATAAGTAAAGTTTATCTTGTTCCCACAAATTAAACACATGGTTCAGCTTATAAACTATGATCCGTGCACTGTAGTGGATCCAGCCACCACAACAAAATTGCCAAAATATTGATATTAATAACAAGAATAACTAATAGAGTTCAGGGTAAGCGAAGATATGTTTTCGATAATTCATCTTCAGGCTTATACAATTATGTGCAAATCAAAAGGTGCAGACAGACACTACAAGTCGTTACTACTGGAGCGAGTTAATTGGATGCTGACAGCGCTGTCTGTTAAGCCACGACAATCGACCGCGTGTGACCTCGTGGGTCAGAGGTCACCGGCCGTTTGGGCCACGGCAGTCCCAAGCCTTTAGTTAGCTTCTTCTGAACACAGCTCCGGTTCATACAGCCGGATCGCAATTGCTTGAGCGGCTTCTAGTAGTCGCTTGCGGACGTAGTTCGAGCGGTGCTTTGGGGCCTGATAGATAAGTTTGAACGAATCAGTGAACTTTGTGGCGTACCCTGTATCGGCTAGGTGCGCGGCTATTGAAGAGTTCGCTGTATTTCCACTTCCGGTTCTAAGCCCGAGCGGATGGTGTTCCTTCATTCTCTCAGATAGACGCCGTTTCGTACGACCAATGTATTCCGCTCCAAAGGAGCATGAAAACGAGTAGATACACATTGAGTTGGTGTGGACAGGCCTCTTATCCCTTGAATTTAGTTTCGCCATTGGAATAGAGAGTTCATCGCAACCGCTTCCAAAAAAGATAGCCCTCCACATACTCGGAGAAGCACTTGAATGCAGTTTCGACCTATTGGTCTTCGCCAGTGGTACGCATTTATAGAATCCTTCAGGATTCGAGACCATGACCACCAGCGTCTTAAACCGTAAGCCAGCAGCTTATGCTGCGACGAACTAAAGTAGTTACACCAGAAAGCTCTCCAATCAGGAGTATAGCAACAACAGCAATCCGAGAAAAATGAGTGATAAAATCGATAAGAGGTAGTCAAGAATCAGAAATAAGAGAGGGATGCAAGTGTCAATGAAGTCGTGTTTGCATCATATTCGATAGTATCTAACTACTTGTGTGGTAGACCCCGAAGTTTCCTTCAAGGAGACATAAAAGCGTCAATACGATTCGGACTTTTAGTGAGTTTCTTGATACTTCTTGCCATGTCGGTGATTGACAACCTCAGCATTCCACAAAACTAAGCGCGGTATTGAAAAAAGCATGTCAAGGCAGCCGGTACGCTACTATGCACAACACATAACAGAGTCGGCAATGGCGAGTCGAGTTCAGCAGGCAATCCAACGAAGCACCAAGACGTCTGTTGCTAAATGGAAATACGTTAAGATAGTCGAGGTGGCATGATAAATAATAGCTAGGTACAAGAAACAGAATGCAGGAATGCCATTGACTACGCCATTTTTGAAAGGGTCTCTAACCGCTAGTGTGGATCATCCCGGGAACCCACCCTTGGTCAGTTTCTGTATGCCTTCATGCTATATGTTGAACTGGCAACCGTGAAGTTTTGCCCAACTTGGTGCAGCCACGGCGTATAATGCATATTGAGAAAGCCGGTCAAAAGACAGAAAACATGGCCTAGATAACGCAAGCGGTTAACATTAAGCGAACACTCGAGTGAGGCACCAGAAGGCTTTTTGCCTAAAGGAAACTTGCAGAACTAAGAATCGCTCATCCAGTGTTCCCACCAGAGAACAGCAATACTTTGCAAGCACTGGCCACGTTTAATGTCTTCACCTCAAAGGTACAAAAGCGCTCGAAACGGTTGACAGCCAGTGCTAATCTGTCTAGTGCCGTTTGGCGCTATTAGGAGCTGTCACAGATGTGGGCAATATCGTCAGCATACTCCAAGTCAAGATGTCGTTTACCTGGGAGCAACTCCACACCATTACTTCGTCAATGACGAAGCTGAAGTAGAAAGATGACATCGGGGATCTCTGTCTTACACGGCTGCAGATATTGAAGGGAGGTGACAGTTTGCCGTAAGCTCATACTCCGCCCGATCTAGGCGCATAAAGCGCTCGCATAATAGTTACAAACTTCTCGGGTACACCATTCCTAAACAGACAATTCCAAAGGGCGCACTGATCCACAGAAACGAAGGCAGCCTTGATGTCAAGGAACACGACAACGGTATACCGCCAATAAAGGTGACGGTGCTCCAACAACTGACGCAATGTGAATATGTGATCGATGCAGCCTCGACCTCGACGAAACTCGGCTTGCTCCTCACCAATCCGGCAATCACGAGCGCCAGCCAATCTGTGAAGAATGACAGAGGCAAGTTATTTGGAGACGATGGGAATCAGACTGATTCCACTACGGTCGTCGCATTCCGAACGCGAGCCTCCTTTGAACATCGTGACAATAACGGAGCGGCTCCAATCGATTGGAATCGTTTCCTGCTCCCACAGATTCACTAGTAATTCGTGTAAATCATCAACAAGAGCAGGTTCCCCGAAGTTGAAGTGGGCTGAATGAAGATCATCTGGTCCCACGGCTTTATTCGACTCAAACAGTCCGATCTCACGTACGACTTCTGAGCGAGAGGGCGGAGTCAAAGGGACAGTCCAGGGAACAGAGTGATCATTGCCCGATGAGAAATCTAACAATTCCGACAGACTAAATTGCTTTCAAATTGCTCAGCCTAACGCCCCAAGCGTTTTGACAAGTTGTGGATAGGTTATCCACTCTCGGCACATGTATTTTCAGTAACACCAGGCCTCCTGCTGCCCGTCCCCCGTGTCAGACGGAGTAACCTACAATGGTTACCAAGATCAGCAGCCACTTCAACCTCTGATGCACGATGAGACCACAAGGATTCACGGCCCATCTTCAAGACAGCATGGTCTTTGCTAGTCTCGTTGTGTTTACTTACAGCCGGAATGTGCCGATGAGCATTCATAAGTTCGAGACTACGCAGAGACCGTCTATTTTGTCTAGTGGATTGACGAAGTGATGATTTACCTGCTTCTAGTAAGGTCTGGTAAACATGAGACCAGTGACTTTCAACTGTATTCAGTGAGTGCTTGCTTAACCCGAACGCCAGCGTAATTCGATACGCATTCAAAACACCAGGCTGCACCAGTTGGCTGGTGTCAATACGCTCACAGGGTCGTGAAAGGCGACCGCCAAAACGTATCCGCAAATCAGCACCTACAAGTGCATGGACAGTGTCCATACATGTGCTCCAAATCGAGGGATAGTTTTGGGCGCCGCCTCCCTAGCGATAACTAACCGCGATGTAATCGATTTACGTTCATAGCTGGTGGGCGCCACATCACTTTCCGACGGCTGCTGTGTCGGAAGTAAGTGTTCACAAGAAATAAGCAAGCATCTTCACACAAATGAAGTAACCGTTCACCGTTATAATTACGGGAGCCTGCACCATGTTGGCCGCCCATATGCAGCTCATCAGTGGACAATTTCCCACCTTGAGCGTTCAGATCCCAGCCAGAACAACGTTGTCCGAGCTTCTTCTGTGGCAAAGGAGCTCGTTCAGTTGACGATAGAAGTCGTCTTGTTACCGAATCATCGTCACAGTTTGTCGTCGCATGGGCAGCGATGACGAACAGACCCCTGTAGTCCCGTGCGGCTTCGAAGCGTTGAAAGAGCCAGCCAATTGGACCGCACATATCCGGCTACTGATTGGGATCCAATCAACCAGAGCAGTTTCAGCCCGGGGACTCAGGGCAATACCCACACCGGTTTGGCCGTACTCGAAGTTGCATCGTCTCCGGATAGGCGCAATGAGAAAGCACTGCTAAGGTCACCTGAAGGGGATCGCAGAGCTTGAGTTT